CAGACACCTGCTATGTAGTGACCTCTTCTGGTATTTGAAATGAATGCAGAAGATCACGTCACAATATTTTGCTGCCGCAAAGAAGAGCATCAGTGTTTGCGTGGCAGCATCCAGAGAGGTAAGCTAATAGCTCTGCCATAAGAGTCCCTTCCTTCACGTGCTTTCTTTGGCTTCTTTTACCTGTTTTATTCTCTGATTTTTAATGAGTCGGGGCAAAATGCTTAGGCGTTGTTGATGCATGGGCAGAAAGGTTCCCCCCCATGCATGAAGGGGGGGAAACAGGACCAGGGCCATTCATCGCATTTAACTTAATTTCTTTTTACATTTCTTTGCCCCAGAATCTTCTACGTAGGAGCATTGGGGGACTTTTTAAGGAAATGAAAGCTTTCCACCTTTGGAGGGGGGAATGAAGTCTTACTAGATGTTCCCACTGAGGTCAATGGTGCTTTTGGCTTCAGTGGAACAGAATCAGATCCACTTCATCTAATCTTCCATCTCTATAAAAGTATCTGAATCAGGAATAAGGCCCTCATCCTATGTTGCCTCTAAGGCACCCAAGTGCAATCCTATTCTACCCTGCTTGATTCCCCGTGGCACAAGGTGGGCAAATCGTCCTCCTCCTCACAGCTTGCTGTGACTGAGTGTGAAGGCTGGGATGAAGGCAGGCCTCAAAGGCTGATCAAGTTAACAGTTCTCAGGGACTGGACTGGGGTGGAATAGGATCTTGTGCCCAAGCTGGGTTTGGGGCTGAACTCTGAGTATCTAATGAAGGTTTTGTTTTTGAAGCCAACTATATCCAAGGGAATAGCACCTCTTGTTTCCAGGAGGAAGTGGTAAGAGCATTGGGGTCAGATGTGGGGCAGGCCGGTGGTGGGTGGACAGCAATGTGCAAAATGCAAACACGAGCTTGTTTTACTGTCACCCGTCCGCTCCGCGTTTGTCCCCCGTCCACCTGTTGTGTCTTGTCTGTTGTCCTGGACAAGGCTGGTGTTGCATGGTGACTAGCATAATGGGGTGTTGCTTTCTAAGAGACTCATTAAGCACTGCTTTAATGCAAGCGATAATAATTCATAATGTCCAACTGTGACAAAACCCGCAGGAAGGTTTGATTATTCTTCTTCTCTTCCTCCATTTGTGGTTTCAGAAGGACTTTTTACACGAAGAAGAGCTGCAGGAAGAGGCCAGAGCTAGTCATAATTCACTTGGGTACAAGTCACCTCTACCAGTGGTCCTACCATCATATTATCAATGTGATTAGAAGTTGTTCATTACAGGTGGAAGCTAAATAATGCCTTCCCACTGGCTTACCCAGACAAGTGGGACTGGAGGGACGGAGGGAAGCTTCGTACCTTGTCCAAGAGGAGTCAGCCACCCAAATGTGTGGGTCCTTTCCCTGGAAAACCTGCATTGGACATGGTGACAACCCCTCCAAGGACTCCTGCCCAAGGGAAAACATGGACGTGCCACTACACAAAGGGTGTCATGCAAAAGTGAATGCAACCAGGGCTGGATACCTTCTGCGCAGGTTGCAGTAGGCACAATGCACAGCTCCCGAGTCTTCCCCTCTACGTGCAGGTTTTGGACTCGCAGTGGGCTTTTCCAAGTGGGAAGCTAAACTAGAAGAGAAACCCCTACATGTCCAGATACAGGAGACAAAACCTCACCTTAAATTTCCCTCTCAGGAAGGGGTATTGTGGGTTGAGATCCAGCCATGCCTTCACACCCAGGGCAATTCTCCACTGGTCTACCAGAGGCCAAACCTTTTGTGAATGAGTAGGAGGATCCTAAATCAAAGCAAAGTGCTTAGACGCCCATCTGAATTCATCCAAGACTTTTTTTTTCCTTTTCTTTCCTTTTTTTTACAGACATCCCTGTAAATTCTTAAACGAGTCCTTGACCGTAGGGGGGGAAATGGGGTCTTCCGGCACCGAGCGATGCATCTGGCTGTCACAGGAGCAGCGTGCATGAGACTGCTTCTATTTAATCACTACAATGTCATCAAAGAGACATAAAATATAAAAGCCCGGAGCCAGCAGGGTTTCAGCTGGGGTAACTCTAGAAGCGTATCCTGCCACCTGTTCCCAGACTAAGGTTAAAGAAGGGCAGGCCCCAGGCGTGTGGCTTAGCGTGCCCACATGTGTCTGTGTTGTTAGCAGCGTGGGGGGAGTTGTGTTGGTGGCAGGATGATGCTGGATGCGGAGTGATACGTCTTGTGTGAGCCTGGATTTGATGTCAAGGGCGTTCTGTTTTCCTAAGGCTCCTTCCCGCACCTAGGTGGTTGGCTCATTGTTTCTTCATTTGGTCTTTCTCTGGCTCTATGAGATAATGAGAGACAGACCGTGCATTGAAGCAGCGTGACCGCTAGTCTTCAAAGAGTCCTTTGCACCATTTAGTTTGATTTAATGGTGTTGGAAGTGTAACAGTTGGAGGTAAATTAAAAAGTGCTGGCTGACACAAGAAATGCTATTTTGGAATAGACCAAAAATAACAATTACAATGAATTATGTGAGCCAGGCGGTGCGGTCTCCTTGTACAAACAGTGTCACGGGGTCTAGGAGCTTACAAACCTGTTGGGTAACAGGAGAGTGAAAGTAATGTTAAAACTAATCATGCCTGAGCAAACCCTCTGGGCCACGCATATGCAAAGTCCAGCCCAGTCGGATGCAGACAAAACCTCTGGTTTCTCTTCTTTCTCTAATAAAATCTCTTCCAACCTGCTGAAATGTTCCTCCTGACACTCAAATAGCTGAAAAGCACTTGACGAGTGATCTGAGTGTTTCTGCTTCTCAGCCCAGGAAAGCAATTTTCTACGCAATGCTGGTATTTTGGGTTGTGACTAAATGAAGGCATAAGTATATTGTGCTCCATTGCTTCCCTCTTATCCAAATATTGGTAAGTCGTGCAATGAAATAAGTCTTATCCAGTCTGTTGATTTAGGCTGATACAGTAGATCTATCAGTGATTATGACTGTGGCTAACTTGGAGGTAAGCAACAGCAAAGTGCTTGTCCATATTTCATGAACAGAGAAAGAGGCAAAATTCACTAAATGAGGGATTTCTTAGGAATGATTTACTTGAGTGCATATTCACTGTTCCTGTGGCATCACAAAGAATTTGTCTTTAAGGCCACATTCAGAAGTTTCTTCAAACCTAGTCTTACAGTCCTTGCATCCTTAATGTACTGTTGAATCCCTAGACCTGTAATATAGGCCAAGTTGGAAAAATGTGATCTCAGTTATCTGGGACATGCAGTATTGCTAATTGCATGGTTAACAGGTCATCCGATGTTGGAAGTCCCTGGGTACCATGTACATTTCTAGACAAGGTGTGGTCCCTGGTCAACAAAGGAGAGAAAGCTGGAGCTCAAGTGTGTGTGGAAGCCTGTTTGTGTCTCGTGTTTGCAGCTCTTTTCTTTAATGAGCTATCTCTATTGAAGAGAGAGTCATATGCCGTGAGGCAATATAACTAGACAAATGCATAGACAGGCAAGGGTCTTCTCCTGGGAACCTGACATGCCGTCTCGTACGAAGAAAATAGAAGGGGCAAAAGGCTGAAGCTCAAAAAGGAGCAGAGAGCATCAGCTCAGAGGCTGTCAAGGACGGGGGAGTTTGAAAGTCGGAAGAAGCCACTTGGTTCATAGATCAAGGTAACCGATCCAGATTTTAAGGTGGAATCGGGAATAGTCTGGGTAAATGCTGGGCAGCACATTTGAGTGCATACTGGAGTGCTGATGATTTTCAACACTGAAACGATGAAAAATGTGGGAAAAAGTTGCCTAGAAACTCACACGCCTGTTATTAATTCTGGTTTTCCTGTACAAAATCATTGATGCCATTAAAGAAAAAACAAATTTTTAAAAAATCGTTATATAACCCTTGAAGAAGTGGGCAGGAAAGACAAGCAGGTCCTTATAAAGTGATTGGGAGTGACATTTACTGAGTGACTGGCAAACTCTGAATCAGCCTGTCATCGTTGGCTGAGAAACTCAAGATAAATAGGCTTCAAGTTGTGCAAACACCCAAGAGCTTCCAAGGGTAAAGGCCTGAGAAAAGCAGACCTCATCGGCTCAGTGAAAGATCAAGAGGTCAGCAGCGGTGCAGGAGGAAAATGGATGGAGGCTACGGCAATGCTAGAGCAGCACAGGCTGGGGCACTCCTAGGGGCTACAGTACAATACCAGGGGGGCAAGGAGAAGATAGCAATTAGGAAGGGGGCTTTGTCTCGATCAAAGCCGTGCCAGGGACTCAAATGCTTTGGGGAACAGCTACCATCATCCCCAGCAAAAGTGTAAGTAAATGGGATAGTCATAGGGGAAATCTAAGGGGCTGATAGGTCCTTCCCACCCCAGTATTTCACAAAGGATGAGTCAAAGAGGAAACAACTGACATGGGCAATCAAAATAGATGTGGATGTCAGGAGCCAGACACGTCTTGAACACAAGGTAGACTCAGAGCCACTGACTAGGTTTATGTATCCTTAAAATGAGTGGCAGAGCCTGACTTCTGCATCTAAAGGAGGAGTGGAGGTCTTATTAATATGATATGTCACGGTGCCTGAACCTCAGCGTGATGGTAAGTGACAGGGCTCTGCTGGAGGTAAGCTGATTTACGCTGGGGAGGATTTGGCCCCTCACTTTATTTTGCTGTCAGACAGCCAATTTCTGCCAGTAGGTTTTGCAAAGGTGGCGCGCTCTCGCTCCACAACGGTAGAGCATGTGTTCTTCTAATGCCTTTTGAGTCATTATTTAAATAACACTACATGAGTTTTAACAGGTTGTTTGCATTGGATGGGCACTTGCCTTTTTTCTTGTAATATTCCCTGGCAAGCCACTTCCTAAGCATCAACACGGGTCTATGTGCAAACTTGACTATGCCAGACAGTGGTGCCTGTGTAGCCCCTTTCCTAAGCACTTTGCATGGGCTAATTAGAGCCCCACTGATTACTGTGCCAATTAGCTTGGTCCCATCCTGATTGGCTTGCTTTCGAGCACCCTATGACCCTATGACAACACTTTCTGGTTTCAGAAGCAGCCTGTCTCTGATCTGTGCGGCATGCTTGAAGATGGATGCTGTCTGGCATGGCAGATTTGGGAATGGTCATCTTGTGTCATTACTCTTCCATAGCTTAAAATTTGGACTTTTGGGGATCCAGGCATAACATAGCACTCATTCCTCTCCCTTCCTCCTCCTTTGTGCCATGGCAAGGACCTTTAATGATGAGATGTGGGATATAAATGTGCATGGCACCTTTTTCAGGTGCTCCTGGACCTTGGGTTTGTGCTGCCTCAGTTTTGGGGCCTGCCATTGAGGGTCACAGCTATCTTGCCGTGCCTCTTCCCTCTGCTCTGACATGGCGTGTGTGCAGGAATAGAGACACGGGGTCTCACCAAACCAAGTCACTAAGCCACTTAGCCCATATGGGCCACTTGACAACCTGAACCATGCCTCAATAACATCCTCTCTTGCTATGAATTGAGCAACTACAGCCGGGAAGGAAGACTTCATTTCTCAGGGGAGCTGCCAAAAACAAATGAAATGTAACATATACAGCATTTTTCGAAAAGACCCGTGGTATCTTTCCCACATGATGTCTCTCTCTGATTACTCTAGTTACTGGGTTGGTATTATTATTTAAAAAACCCCATCATCTGACCCTTGATAATCCCCATATTGCATTACAGAGGATTGCTGGACATACTTGGGACATGTTGGTGTTCTTCAATTTTAGACTGCCCCCTCATGCTTACAAGTATTTTACCAATGATGCAAGGTTATGTTACACGGACACATTCTCTGACCTGGTCCAGTTAATACCTTGGCACTTGGAAATGGCATGTATTGGAAAGTGGCATGTATTGGTAAAGGGTGACAGATGTGTGGGTTTTATCAGCAAAAATGAAAGCCAGCAGTACAGAAGTTGCCCTGAAGTATCTGGAGTCAGCACATGGCTCATCATTTATCTTAAAAATAGAACGCGTTGGACATTTTAGGCACTTGAAGCATGTTTTGATGATCCACTACCTTGGAGTCAAATGGTGATGCATGACGAGAAGTTGGTAAATGAGCCTCCCGCTCTCTTGATTCGACTTAAAAACCTGTCACTTCTTTTACTTCAGAGATGGACAGATGGGCTGGAAAAAAAATTACCTAATATGAAAAGTAAGTTTAAGGAAAAACACTATTGTGCTCAACTCTCCTGGGTGTCAGGCTTTATGCAAGAATTTGCCTTAGAAAAAAACTAAACACTAATAATTGATTAAGCATTGATGTTTATAGACATTTTTTCCATCTCTCAGCACACTTAGAACTTGTTTTTAATTATTTTGATTCAATTCCTTTAAGTGACTTATTGCATGAATCATAACCATTGGAAGCAGGTATCATCATTACATTATTAAGCAGACTCCAGTACAAAGAAAGAGATTTTTTTTTTTACTCTTATTTTGATACCACATGAAAAAATGCCGCTTTCATAATTAACAAAAGGAATTAACCCTGAGTTTGGATCGAATGCTAACTACAATTTACAGGTTGCTCATTTCTATACTTATCTGTTGTTTGTAACTCAATATAGTCAAATCAATTCATTTGAAAGTGCTACCACAGTGACCTCTGTCTACCTCTTGGAAAAATAGTGTCACCTCTTCCTCTTTTCACAAGTTCTTCAGCTGTAATAGAGTACCATAAACCACAGATTTGGTTTTTTATTAGTGGCCATGTAACTTCTGCTTCAGTCATCCTTGCCAGCCCGGCAGTAAATGTAAAGGGGACGTTGCTTTTCTACCAAGTAGAAAATCCTTAACATGGCGCTTGTTCAGTACTATTATTTAGGATCTTTGACAGCCATTAATCATCTTTGTCAGTAAGGCTGGTTCCCAGCATGCTCGTGGAGTTCACCAAAGGGGAATGGCAGGAGATGGCCAAGTGTTCAAAATAAGCTGTTAAACGATCAGCTGGAAGGTCGGGGGCTCAGGTGGCAGCACGGATGATTCGCCTCAACTGCGTAAAGCAGCAAAGTTTGGCATTGTCATAATTTAAAAGATCATCCCAAACCGCGATTCCCTTTACGCTGCTTGTTGACTCAATGTGACTGCAACCTGCAGACGCTTGGAGCAGTAAAACTGGAAATATGAGCAATTATGAAGATAAAATGCCCTCTATTGGGAAAGGACGAGGACCCAGGTCCTGAAACTGGTTTCACACGAGTGGGTCCCCAGCCCTGCACAGAGCCCTGCACTCACGGGCCTAAAGTTTGAATATTCAGGTTAGATCTTTAATGTGAAAAGTATGACTTTAGCTGATCCAAGGAAATACATGACACCGGTCAACTACAGCTAATACTACCTCCTATGCTTACATGTTGCTGAACTAGAAGGGATACTGTTGACCTAAAAATCCCCCTTCTCCTCGAATATTTTTTCCCGCTGGTCTTATAAGTACTATTGTAGAAAACTAAAATGGAAAGAGAGGAGAGAGAATATTGTTTTCTCTGTGTGCTTACTTTGTGCATTGACTAGTATTTGATTTGCAGCTGGTTTTGCTTTTCCCCTGTAGGCTTGTTTTCTCCACTATTCGCTGGGGGGAGGTTTCTTGCAACGGTAGGGGAGAGAAAACAGCTTGAGATATAGGGAAATGGGACCGATGCCACAAGAAACTGCAGGGAGAGTGAGGGTGAGGTGTCAGCCAGGGAACCACTTTTAATTCCATTTGCAACTAAGTTGCACGCTGGCAGCATCCCTTCAGATGCTTACCCCTTTTCCTGTTCTTGTTTAATGGTTCGTTACTCAGCAGAAATCTCTTCTTGCCTTTCCTGGGTATCTTGCCTGAGTAAAGACCCCAAATCACTCCAAGTTGATTCCTGGGTCAAGCTGAAATGAAAAAGCAGAGAAGAGAAATCTCCTTTTCATATTAATGATCGTTCATTCCTACAGGACTGAGAATAAAAAGGACATCCAGGTAAAGTGCTTCTATAACACTGTGGCTGTTGGATCTTGTAAGTGCTGGATGCTATTTGCTTCAGCAAAGCAGAGTTTGGGATGAAATGCATGGTTCTCCATCTTCCTAGTTTGCCCGTTTCCTCCTTTCTTTGCTGTCTCCGGAAACCTAGACGCAGCAGAAAGAGTCACAGAGACTCCATCAAAATGAAATGACTCTTGCCTAGTTTCAGATTTCATGGGGAATATTTCAGACCATTTTGGTACGGTCTCTAGGTCAGATTTCTGCCAGCAGTCCCAAGGAGTCTTTACTTCCTGCCTTAACTGTTGTGAAGTGATGGGTTTGTTAGACAGCTGCTGTTTTCCACCCAGAGACAATGGTTTTGCAGTGAGGGGTGCACTCACAGCATTTAGAGGTGCATCTTCCTGGCATTTACATGGATGAAGAGATTCCAGCTGTGTATGTAATACAAGTAGGGTCTTCGGTGGGGAAAGAAGCCATCTAAATACAATTCATCCTACCCCTGACACTCAGCCTTGTCTCCCCCAGCCTTGCTCCATATCATCTCAAACATCTGCTAAAGTGGTGATTAACTGGTGGAAGTCCTTGTAAATGAGCCTCTTTTACAGGAGCTGTATAGGCATCACTCCAAAAACATCAGGTCTGCCTCTGCCAGACCCACCCTCCCAACAGAGAGAGTAGCATATTTCAAAGGGAATGGAAATATTATCTTCTCCTCCCATTCCTGACTGGGTGTTACATGGCCTGGGAGCATCCTGAACCAATATATTTTGAATTAAGTAGGGCTCTTGGTCCTAAAGAAGTTACCTGTGCAGGAAAAATTTGGGACAGGTTTTTTCTATTTGGAAGGTTGTAGAAGAGAACAATCATGACTACAGTGAGGATTAACTGCTGCAGACGTGCCTCTCTACTGTTACTTCTTCTTTCCACTCTCCTTTCCCCTTCATATCTGCCCGTTTACCTGTTGCATATTATCTAACTTGTGTACCATGAGCTGCTGGTTGCTGGAACAATCTTTCACTTATTCATATTGTCTTGTACAATATTGCCCTGATCCCTAGGTACTATTGCCATACAAAAGTACTGACAACAATAATTAGATATAACAATACAAACAAGAAGTGCTTTTGCCCAAAGGATGCCAAAATGCTCTATATTTTTTTCCAATGACTCAGTTGGTTTAGTAAAAAACATCATATCTGCCCAAAGAACCTTGCCTGCAAAATTCTTTATACATTTTTACAAAGGGTGGCCCCCAAACCTGTAGTCCCTGCTTAAGCTGGGAGGGAAGAAAGAGCTTCATTTAGATCAGGACTGATGGGTGTAGCTCGCTGTGTCCTGTGCAGGTGTGGTGTCATTCGGTGGTGAGCTCGGAGGTATGCATCCGTCAGTGCACCACAATGCTGCGTAACAGGCTCAGAAAGGAAGCGAGTCCTAGCCACAGTCTAAATTTCCAGGGAGAACTGAGATAGGCAAAATGTGACACTAACCTGAGGCTTTGTGGGATTATCACCCCTTGCTTTTGCAAGAAGTGTCATAAACTGAACCTTGGCTTTGCATCTAATATGAAAGACGGTGCTTCCAGAAACCATACTTTCTGAAACCAAGAAGGAGCACTGGATGCATTCTGACTCGGAGGGAAAAAAAAATACTTCTTACTAAATCCTCCCTAGCATTCCTTCCAGGATCCCCATTTTCCATCCACAAGTGCCTGACAAGCCTGACCCTACTTCACAGAGCAGGTCTGATGAGATTGCAGCCCAAGATGGCATGGCTGCAGATCAGGGAAATATAAGAGGATAGCAAAGGGCTTTATTTACAGTCAAGAAATCAGCAAGAGATTTGCAACCAGCAAACAGATAGCTTCTGTGACCCAAACAGCATCGTTTGAGAGAATAACATGCCATCTGAAGAGCACAGTTGATTTATTTGATAACATCAGGAAACCATTTATGGACTCAATTATGTACGGTGATTGCTGGGGTTTAAACTACTAGACCAGGCAGATTGATGTGTGGGTCTGCTGTGTGCTTGCTGATGCATTATATCAAACGAAGAATGTCCCTCAAAATACCAATGGGACAACCAGATACCCACTATGCTTTTCCTTTAGCTTTAGTTTCTAGCTTTTTTATTTTTGTCATTTCCACTTATGAGGAACAAGGACTGTACGGGGACTTACAGCTTTTTCATGGAAGTGAATGCATAAATACTCTGTTGCTATAAAGTTCAGCCAAGACTAGGAGCCCAATCTTTGGCCAGTGCAATCCCTGTGAGTTTTGCCATTGACTGAGGATGGAGCAGCATTTGGCCCATCATAAGGAATATGCCTGAATGCAGGGTGGATTTGATTTAAATCACGATTTAAATAACTGGTCAGGAAGTCTCAATTTAATCATTGTTTTCTACAAGTAATGTTGATATCACCTTCATTAAAGTATTTCCAAAGAGGGTCTCTTTTATAGCCTGCAAGCCTGCTGCCATGATAGGTTTACCCTTCTACCATACCTTTTCCTCACTAGATCTGAAATCAGTGGAGATGCTGTATTCAGAAATGTATCCCTCAAGATTTCTGCAGTATTCTACTCAAAATGTTTCTCTTTTGTTTCTACTGCCCCTTGCTCCTTGCATTTATCTCCACACTCCTCCTCCTTGCCCAGATCTACTCCACCCCAACAATCCTCTATTCATTTAACTTCTTGAAAACTTTGCACTTTTAGAGAGAGGTATGGACTTGACTCTGTACAAAAACTTGCAGAGAGACAATGGGACTGGTGGATAGGTAATCAGGTCTGTTATCTCTCATTTCTATAGACTGCTATTAATAAGCATGTTATCTCTGGAACCACAAATCCACAGTTTGAGAACTGAAACTAAGCATCATAGAGATGCTTAATGGGATCTTTTAGACTAAGCACAGGCAAGATCGACCCTGTGAAAACTCATGAAAGTCCTGAAAAGATGGGTTTAAGCTACATAAAATATCTCCCAAAATGTCCAGTGAGACCATGGACCATTTCTGACTAATAACGCCTGACAACTTCAGTCTCCTGGTCCTATTGATCTAATGATTCACTAGTTTTGTGAATGATGCAGCTGAAAAATGCTTTGCTCATCTAAAGCAGTAAGACCCCTGAACCTCTCTGATGGGACTATGTTATTTCAGGAGGTGAGGCTGCAACCCACGTAGACTTACGTGAACCAGCTTTATTGAATTTAGCTCATGGGATGCCAAAATCAGTGAAGACCTGGCAGCAGGGACCATACTAGCCCACCTAAAACTTCATATTTCTACTCGGGCTAACTAGATTACAACTAACTTAGTATAGGCAACCCCAACTTAGTACTCTTAATTGGTTCCTGAAAAACCAAGCATTAAGTGAAAGGAGCATTAAGTGAAACCAAAAGTATTTGATGACCTAAAGTGGTGACCGCAATTGTTTTTAATGACCCAAGATGGTGACCGTGAGTGTTATAACAAGACTTGCAGAGTGCTACATGCTAAGTGATCCTCCTCCTCTACGCGACACTGGCCTGGCCACAGCTGGAGTACTGTGTCCAGTTCTGGGCACCCCACTTCAAGAGGGATGTGGACAACATTGAGAGGGTCCAGAGGAGGGCCACCCGCATGATCCGGGGGCAGACCCTACAATGACAGGCTATGGGACCTGAACCTGTTCAGCCTCCACAAGAGAAGGCTGAGGAGGGACCTTGTGACCAGAAGGTCACTAGGGGGGACCATAAGGGTTTGGGGGAGACCTGGTTTCCCCTAGCGCCCCCTGGGATAACAAGGAATAACGGCCACAAGTTGTTGGAAAGTAGGTATAGATTAGACATCCGTAAGAACTACTTCACAGTTAGGGCGGCTAGGATCTGGAACCAACTTTCAAGGGAAGTGGTGTTGGCTCCTACCCGGGGGGGGTCTTTAAGAAGCGGCTCGATGGCTACCTGGCTGGGGTCACTTGAGCCCAGTTTCCCTCCTGCCCAGGCAGGGGGTCGGACTTGAAGATCTACAAGGTCCCTTCTGGCCCGACTTCTATGATTCTATGAAGTGAAATCAGGTATCAATTTAAAATGAGCGTTATAGCAAAATAGTGCTAAGTGAAACAGTTTTAAGCAGGGATTGCCTCTATGTGTTCACATACCACAATCAGGTGTCTAACCACGGTGTAGACATAGCTTTGCCACCTACAGAAGCCCTCACCTGGGAATCAAACATCAGTGGTGTGCAGGCCAGGTGCATGCAGGGGAAAATATCACCAATCATGTTTCCCCTGGGTTGGGCCATATCATCTTCACACACAAACTACTAATATTAGGATATTACAGGTCCCTGTTTACCACAAAGGATGCCAAGTGCAAGTTTAAAACAAACCCTGCATCCCATTCACCAAGTATATTTAATACCACCCTAAAGCTTTATTCTTTATTTAGCTTTCACCTACCCTCTGTGTGTTAAAAAGAGTTACTGGCACTTCTTTTTCTCTCTGGATCGCTATCAACATATGATCTCCATTATTTTTTCCAGAGAGACTATTATGTGCAGGCTGGTCCTGATTATGAAATACAGAGCACCAATTCTCATTATAGGGTATTTACATTGCACTGAGATTACAGATACAACAGATGGGGTAACCCATATTGTATTTCCATGTATTGTCCGTGGAGTGTCATGAGTACACATGGCACTTAATTTATCGCATGAGAGACTGCAACCAATACAAACCACTTCCTACAAGAACTACCTGGTAGCAGGTTGCCATTGGCACACCATTCACTGTATTTTGTCTCAAAGGTGTTTTTGTATAGTATTAATCAGCATCATGCTGGGTAGGGATTCTTCGTGGTGAGAAAAATTGTGATGAGAAAAAGGGTTTTTTACAGCATGCAGAGCCGATTTCGTGGGCATTTTGTGGTGGCTCCACCCCTTGGCACTGATTGGTGGAGAGGCCCTGGCAGGGAGAGGAGGGACAAGAGGGCAGCCGCCATCTTGCCTGCTGCCCTTCATGCTTCCCTGCCAGCTGGCGCCTCCTCCTCCCTGCAGCAAGGACCGCTGGATCCTGCTGGGGAGCCAGCATTTTGTTTTATTTAAAAACATTTTTTTTTACTGATTTTGTGGACAATCCCAGATTTTGCAGTTTCCATGAAATCCACAAACCCACGAATTAAGTAGGTCCCTAACAATGGATCCCTGATCTCTGGAGGGATCCTTAGGCACTACTGTAAACAGAACAATTTCCCAGTAAATGTGAACAGCCCATGGAACATACTTCTTAAAACAGGAGGACTGAGAGACTAACATTCAATTTATTACCTGTTCTTCAGTAATACAGTGGATTTTAGTCCTTGTTTCCAGTTACCAGTTATGTGCTTCTGTTCTTCCACTGCAAAATTACCAGAGGACAGATTTCTGGGTGCACCAGCCCCCACTGACTTATGTGCATCTCAGTCATATGACTTAACACGCTGCTAGACCTATTCTGTCTGCTACTGGCAAGGATATTATCCATATCCCTAACTGTTCTTTGGTTGGCAAATTATCCAAGCCCATTCCTCCACTACCCATTTTTAATAAATAAACCAACATGCCAAAATTATCCTTTATCAAGGTGAATATAACTTCAAACATAAAGAATGTTTGAAATCCATATTCTCTTCCCTACAGGTTATTCTTCTATGGTTCTATTTTACAACACTGAACAACAAGGCGTATCTTTGATATGTCAGCGTAAATTACTGTTTCTTTGGAGATAAATACTGCATTGTGGGAATGTTTCTACAAGGCTGGAATTTTAGTACCTCACAGTTTGGAAGGTTCATTTGTTTAAAGCGGTTTCCTTTAATTATGTCAAGTCTTCATCAAAGACCAAATTCTGTCCCTCCATTTGTGTACACAGCTGTATGGGAAAAAAATAGCGAGGCTAGAAAGAAAAGAGTCCTCAGCTATTCACTGTTAATTGGCCCTAAGGCACGACTATCAAGAGTGTGGTGGAATTTGGAAACTACAGAAGACTTATTGAGCTCTAAAACCCCCAGGCTCTTATAGAAGTCAACAGCAATCCTGCCCTTCACGGGTTCCCTAGATGTCCTCTGGGTTCCCCAGTCACCCCGACTCCACCTGCCCCCCTTCCCCCCCCCCAACTTCACCAGAGCATGAGGCTGCTTTGTCCTCATGTATGTGCTCTGAGACACACTGAGAGACAGCGAGTAACCATTTTTCCCCCAGGGCAAAAAGTTTCACCTGGAGCTAGTCCACCCTTGGCCACTCTGGGAAGATGCTCCCTGAGAACCAGCACCTATTCCACATACCTACCTGCTGTTCCCTTTGTTACGTTACATATTTCCATGTGCACTGAATGCCAGACCTGTACAAGGCTCATTCACTTGCCACTTAAATCCATCGTCTGAACAGCCCATTCCATTCAGGCAGGGTTGATAAAAATCAATGGTTTTTTAAAATAAAAAAAACCAACGTACTGTTTTCCTATTTAAATCTGATTTTTTAAAAATTTAATCATACTTTTTTTATTTGGATGCTTTAAACACCCCCCCCCCCCACAAACCTATGTAATGATAATTTTAATTTAAGATATGTTAGAGCCCAAAGATATCATCATGGAATAGGGATTATAACTTCTAATTATATACTATTTGAGACAATATATTCATGTAACCTTTTTAGAAAACTTTTATAAATAGGTCACAATAGGCCATGGATTATATTACGGGCCCAATATTATGGGGTTCCCAGAGGCTCCTTTATACGTTAGTAAAGATTAAAGAAAGCTACCTTACCCAATGGGACTCTGTGTTCAGTCTAGAAGATCCCATTAAGCATCTCTGTGATGCTTAGTTTCAGTTTGCAAACTGTGGATTTATGGTTCCAGAGATAACTTGCTTATTAATGGTCCATGGTCTCACTGGACATTTTGGGAGATATTTTATGTAGCTTAAACCCATCTTTTCAGGACTTTCATGAGTTTTCACAGGGTCGATCTTGCCTGTGCTTAGTCTAAAAGATCCCATTAAGCATCTCTATGATGCTTAGTTTCAGTTCTCAAACTGTGGATTTGTGGTTCCAGAGATAACATGCTTATTAATAGCAGTCTATAGAAATGAGAGATAACAGACCTGATTACCTATCCACCAGTCCCATTGTCTCTCTGCAAGTTTTTGTACAGAGTCAAGTCCATACCTCTCTCTAAAAGTGCAAAGTTTTCAAGAAGTTAAATGAATAGAGGATTGTTGGGGTGGAGTAGATCTGGGCAAGGAGGAGGAGTGTGGAGATAAATGCAAGGAGCAAGGGGCAGTAGAAACAAAAGAGAAACATTTTGAGCAGAATATTGCAGAAGTCTTGAGGGATGAGTTTCTGAATATAGCATCTCCATACGTCATAATCAAGCATTTGGTGAGTGAAATCAAATAAAAGCCTCTGACAGACCCTGTTATTTTTCAAACTCAGTAAGGACCCCGCATGCAGGGTGAAATCTGCCCGTGTCCTGGCATATGGTGCAGTTTAAGCCCTATTTTGAGGGTTCAGGGAGACCTTCCTGATTCATAGCTCTTGTGTTGGTTCTTTCCATATGGATGAAGTCCCCCCCATATACATCGGTGATTCATACATTAGAAGTCACCCTCCTAAGGGAATCCTCTAGAAAACTACCATCATATGTATTACTCAATGGGGGAGACTCACCAGCTGCACTGAAATGTCAGAAGGGTTTGCACAGCTGACGAGTTGCTGAAAACGGAGCATGGCAGCATCTCCATAAATTCTCTTTATCCAGCCAAGTGCAGCTTAATATAGACTTAGCATAAGCCTTAGTTCCACTGTCTCCCTCTCACACTAAGATCAAACACTGCCACAGTTCATGACAGAAACATTAAGCTGGTGATTTTATAGAGCACAATACTGTTGGTCGGATAGGTTGTTGCCTTTTTTTTTT